AGTTTTTTTCAGAAGAAAAATGTGAGTATCTGGAATAAGGAAGATGGTATATAACCTCCAAGAAGTTTATTTTTTGATTGACAAAGTACTGCCTTAAACAGATTTGTTCTAATATTAAAAAATAATTGAAGAAAAGTATTTATTTCCCTTAATTCATGCAGTGTTGTCAAGAGTCAGAATTATTTCAACAACTCCTAAAAACAACCCACCAACAACAAGGAATACAGAGAAGAAAAATAGCTATAAAAGGCTCTGTCTAAAGAATTTTTTACACACACACAAACACACATATATGCATGCAGATATACATATTTTTTTGTCAAACATTATTCTAAGTGGTATGCCACTTGTCTGTCCATTTGCTGTACAGAGGTAACTCATGGTTGCTGTGATGCTGAACACTGTGACACTGATTTGTCAAATGTGATAATGGTTAACCATGGTGGACAATGTTTGGTGGAGCTTCCCGATTAAAACAAGCTTGGAAGCAGGAGTGGCATCCACTTCCAAAATAGCTTGTCTCTGGAAACTATCAACTTGGAGAAATGATGAAAGCTATACAAGGGCTGCTATGAGTTGTCTCCAGCTTGATGGCACTTAACAACAACAATAATCCAAACTGACCCATAGTTGACCCTCTGGAGTGTGTTCAGAGGCAGTTAATCACATGGAAAAAGATTGCCTATTCTTCTCCCATGAAACAGCTGGTAGATTTGAACTCTCTACCTTTGAGATTGCAGCACAGCTTCTTGCCAGTTGGAAACATACACACACACACACACACACACACACACACACTGTTGTTGTTGTTATGTGCCTTTGAGTTGCTTGTGACTCAACAATCCTATGTACAATAGTTCTGAACCATTGTCTATATTGAGACAATATAGTAGTTAAATTTCCAATCCGTGGAGAAGTGGAAGGTTAGAGAAGAAAAGAAGATCCTCAACACATTGAACCAATACAGCGACTGTAACAATGGGTTCAAGCATGTTTCGGATTGTGGGGATGGCGTAGGATAGGGCAAGGATTATATCTGTTGTTCATAGAATTACTGTGAATCATAGAGAGAGCAATGTTGGCCTTGTGGATAGAAAGTTATGCTACCAGGCTAAAGGTAGGTGATTTTAATCTGTGGTCCTCAGGTTTGGTTTTAATTGTTTTTGGTCAAACATTTTTCTAAGTGGTATAGATCTGGTCTGTCAATTTGTTGTACAGAGGTAACTTATAGTTGCTGTCATGCTAAAAAACATTGTGACACTGATGTGTCAAGGATGACTTTGGTTACCCACTGTTTTAATTTACTTGGCTCCACAGTCAACACTCTTGGTAACAGCAGCCAGGAAATCAGCAGATGAATTACATTGGGAAAGCTGGCTGTGAGGGACCTCTCAAGAGTACTGAAGAGCAACAATGTCAGGCTGGAGACTAAGGTGTGCCTGATCCGGGCTATAGTCTTCGCAATTATGTGCTATGCATCAGAGAGTTGGACAGTGAACAGGGCTGATAGAAAGAGGATTGATGCCTTTGAGTTGTGGTGCTGGAGAAGAGTGTTGAATATACTATGGACTGCTAGTAGAACAAACAGGTTTGTCCTGGAGAGGGTGAAGCCAGAGTGTTCCCTGGAGTCAAGGATTCTGAAGCTTCGTTTGACATATTTTGGGCATGTTGCAAGGAGGGACTGGTCCTTGGAGAAGGACATCATGTTTGGCAGAGTGGAGGGGAGGCGATGGAGAGGAAGACCTTTGGTGAGATGGATCGATTCTGTGACTGGAGCTGTGGGAATAAGTGTGTTTGAGATGGCTAGGTTGGCACAGGATAGAAGAGCGTATAGAGCTCTTGTACATAAGGTCGCTATGAGTCGCAAGCGACTTGATGGTACATAACAACAACAACAACAACAACAACAACAACAACAACAACAACAATGGTGGACAGTGTTTGGTGGAGCTTCCAGATTAAAACAGGCTTGAAAACAGGAGTGGCATCCACTTCTGAAATAGCTTGCCTCCAGAAACTCTATGAACTTAGATAAATAATGAAAGTTAAACTAGTGTTCAGGTCTTTTATTCATAAGGTCACTATGAGTCCTCTATGACTCGATGGCACTTAACAACAACCACTGACAGACCTACTCCTACTACCCAGTCACTGAGTCAACCCATCTCATCCAGGGTCTTCTACTATAGCTCTGCTATATAGATGGGAAATACCCAATGGGTTTTCAGAGGCAGGTAACCACATGCGAGGAGATTGCACATCCTCCACCTACAGAGCAGCTGGTGGCCTTGAGTCACTTGCCTTTGGGGTTGCAACACAACTTCATGTCACTAGGCCAACAGAGTCATAGATTAGAAACAGATATAGATATAGCTATAGACTGAAACAGATAGAGATAGAGGTAGATAATACAACCTTGTTTGCTGAAACTGAGGAGGACCTATGTACTTGCTTCAGTAGGTGAAAGACTATAGCCTTCAATATGGATTGAAGCTCCTCAAGAGAACAAAGATTCTCACCACTGGGTCAATTGGCAGCATCATGATAGATGGTAATGAGATTGAGATTGTTGACAGCTTTAATTTGCTTGGCTCCATAATCAACACTCTTAGTACTAGCAGCCAGAAAAATCAAATGACAAATGCATTGGGGAAGTCTGCAGTCAGGGACATCTCCAGAGTACTGAAGAACAATGATGTCAGTCTGGAGACGAAGGTGTGCAATCCAACCCAACCCATGGTCTTCACAATTACTTGCTATTCATCAGACAGACAATGACTAGAGATGATAAAAGAAGAATTGATGGTTTTGAGCTGTGGAGCTGGAGAAGAGTATTGAATATACCAAGGACTGCTAGAACAAATAGATTCATACTGGGCAGAGTGAAACCAGGCTGCTCCCTGGAGGCAAGGATTCTGAAGCTCTGTCTGACATACTTTTGGTATGTTGCAGGAAAAGATCAGTCCATGATATCAGAGGGATATCATGCTTGGAAGGGTGGAGGGACAGCACAAGAGAGGAAGACTCTGGGTGAGATGAATTGATTCAGTGACTTGGGTAAAGGCGGTGGCTGTGTCAAAGACAATAAGGTTGGCTCAGGACACAGCAAGATTCAGAGCTGTTGTACATAGGGTCACTATCAGTCACAGGTGACTTGACAGTACATAACAACAAACAACATACATATATATGTATGTGTGTTCATGTGTGTGTATCCTTCTGGGTTTTTTTTTTAATCAAATGGGATGAAGAAGAAAATAGCCCATTTTTCTCCTGTGGAACAGTTAGTGATTCTGACTGCCTATCTTAAAGTTGGTAGCACAATCAGAGTTAATGATTGAGATGATAGATAGATAGATAGGTAATAGATAGATAGACAGACAGATAGATACATACGTAGATAGACTCCTCACAGAGCTGAGTTGCCAGAACAAAGATCATGTCCATCCGACAGTTTGAGCGCATAAGCAGCTCCCAGGGAAAAAAGACGTACTGTACCCTCCCTTGCAATTTCCAGCTTCCAAAAGTCACTGGGTGGGGGCGGGGTGAGTTAGGATTTAGCAATTATATGTATAGGTACCTATATGAGTGTGTGTGTGCACACATGCATGCGTACACACACACACACACACACACACACACACACATCAATAGAATACTGCCAGACATGCAGGCTGGGTTTAAAAGAGGCCATAGCACTAGGGATATTATAAATAGATAATTTTAGATGGAACTTAGCTGAAAGCATAGAGTCCCAAAGGAATGTGTATCTATGTAAATGCACCTATTCCAGGATAATGGCTTTTGCAGGGACTTGCCATCCTGACAACATGCCTAAAACATGTGAGACAAAGTTTCTCTATCTTTGCCTGTAAGAAGAACCCTGTTTGTACTTCCTCCAAGACAGACTTGTTTGGATTTTCACAATACATGGGTTATTTATTCTTCTTTTCCAACACTTTAACAATCAAAGGTGTCAATTCTGCTTCTGTCATCCTAATTCATATATGTGAATAAAAGATAGATATATAAATATAATATGCATATATAATGTATATATGTGTGTATATATATATAGTGTGTATATATATATATAGTGTGTGTGTGTGTGTGTGTATATATATATATATATATATATATATATATACATACATATATATATAGTATAAAATGCATTATCACAAGCAAGTATTATAAAGGAAAACTCTCCAACAACCACTCAGCGTAAACTACTTTTATTCATTGAAAGTAACACATTTTTTCAAAATAAGGAGAACATTGGTCAGCAAATACAAGCATCAACTAAAGCTATAACTTTGTATAACAATGTTGCTGTAGACAGCGGCCATTTTAAACCTGTTTAATAATTTGAGTCTTTGATTTTCTATTTACTTTTTACCTTGTTTTCTGACCTTTATATGCATAAAATTTTATATGCATGAAAAAGAACTGAGTTGGATATATAGCAAAATGTAGAATATAGTTGAAAAGGAATAGCTAAATGTATTTTAAAATCTCTTACAAATGAAAACTGAAAACCATAAGTAGAAGGAGTGACACAAATATAGTGAAGCAAGCATCTTTGGAGAATATTCATCAGGAGTAGAAATGTCAGCTGTATGGTGTCATCTCATAGTATGTTAAATGGTAGATAATTTGTTTTCTGTATTTTAGTCTTAAAATGTCTGTATTTGTTTCCATAGTGTAGTGGTTATGGTTATCTTGTTTATGTCCACTGATTTATTGATTGCTGGTGCATTTCTGAATGCATAGATAATTATTTTACTTATAAATAATTAGCTATTTGAGACAAAATTCTTAAAAGACTAGAAAGATCATAAAATGTTTTTATTTTTAAGAATTCCTAGAGTAATTAAGAAGTAAAATATGTACATTAAGATTGTGAACATAAAAACACATTCCAATTTTTTTCCAAATGTAGAAGTTAGTTTCACACAGATTATTCCAGAAATATAGAAACTATGCTAAAACATTCTTTGCTATGTTTTTTGTAGATTCCCCAGAATACGAATACGTATTTCCCGAGTCTTAATGCAATATACAACAGGGTTGAGAACAGGAGGGACTAATAAGTATACATAGCCCATGATAATATGGACAACAGGTGGAACATGCTTCCCAAAGCGATGGATAATGGATACTCCCAGCATAGGAACATATACCAGCAACACTGCACAGATGTGGGACACACAGGTATTGAGAGCCTTGAATTGTTCTTCCCTGGAAGCAATACCTATCACAGTCATCAGGATCTTCAAATAAGAAAGAAGGATGAGCACAGAGTCCAATCCAAAAGTGATGAGAATGATGATGAGACCATAGATGCTATTGATGCGGTGGTCAGAACAGGAAAGCTTGATTATATCAGGATGTAGACAGTATGAGTGGGAGAGAACATAGGCTTCACAGAATTTCAGCCGCTTAATGAGAAAAGGTCCTGGGAGGATTACAGCCACAGCTCGTATCAGAAATCCCATGCCCATCTTGGCAATGGTGGCATTAGTTAAGATAGTAGTATATCTGAGTGGGTTAGAGATGGCGACATAGCGGTCAAAGGCCATGCTCAGCAGGATGCCTGATTCCATTAAGGAAAAAACATGAATGAAGAACATTTGGGTGAGGCAGGCATCAAATTCAATATCAGGGATATTGAACCAGAAAAGCTTGAGCATAGTAGGTAGAGTAGAAGCACAGAGTCCCAAGTCACTAGCAGCCAACATGGAGAGAAAAAGGTACATGGGCGCATGAAGTGACTGTTCCACTCGGACAACCACTATGATGGCACTGTTACCCAGAATGGCAATTAGGTACAGGATGCAAAATAAAATGGAGATCATTGGGTGTGAGGCCTCCAGGCCGGGGAAACCCGTCAGAAAAAAGGGTCTGTAGTTACTGCCATTGAAAAAGACCATGATGTAAAATTTATAATTCTGTGTTAAATCCTTACTTTTCTTCATAGGAAGAAAATCTGGATTAGCACGGTATCACCATATTAATTTCCAGTGGAATCTGGAATACAAAAGTCAATAGATTATTCTCCCTACAGTACTAAATTTGGATTATATACCATCATCAATATTCTTTCAAATAAATATATATGGACAATGAGTTTAAGCTTGATACTACCTAACAACAATTCACCTCCTCATTAAAATTAGAGTAAAAAAGAAGCTTGTGATCATAGGGGCCTAGTAGATAGTTTTGCTCCTAACCCGAAGGTAAATGTTCCAAATACATAAATTGCACTGACGGAGAAAGTAAATTTTCTGTGTAATTTACTGTCTCTGAAAAATGCCACTGGAGGGTCTGCTTTAAGTTGGTCCTAACTTGACTTGATGGCAATGAATTTATATACATATGTATATAAAATATGTATATGAAGTTATTATATATATATTATATAAGATTTCTCATTTAAAAATAAAGTATAAGGCATATATATATAATTAAGTATACATTATATTGCACTAGAGTGCTGAGAAGCCAAAGCAAAGGATATTAAGAAGTTGAACAGAAGATTTCAAAGAGCAGCATAGGAAGACAAAGCAAAAATATTTTAATGAAATATTCAAAAAGAGCTGGAATTAGAAAATCAAAAGGGATGAACTCATTCCGCCTTTTTTAAGCTGAAAGAACTGAAGAACAAATTCACGCTTCAAGTTGGAATACTTAAGAATGGATAGAATGCTGAATGACTTAGGAAGTATAAAAAAAAAACAGAGTAGTACAGAGTCACTGTACCAAAAAATTTTGACTGAGAGAAGAATTTCATGAAACAACATATGAACAAGAGGCAATGGTGGTGAAGGAAGAAGTTCAAACTGCTCTGAAAGAATTGGCAGAAAACAAGCCTTCAGGAATCGGTAGCATATCAATTGACATATTTCACCACCAGATGCTGCCTTGGACATGCTCACAAAATTGTGCCAAGAATCTGGAGGAAAACCACCTAGCCACCTGGCTGGAAGTGATCCATATTTTATTCCCATTTAAAAAAAATTGATCCAACAGTGTGAAAATTATTGAACAATATCCTTACTATCACATGCAAGCAAGATCCTGCTGAAAATTATTCAAAAATGACTGGAACAGCACCTCAACAGAGAACTGCCATATATGTAGGCTGGGTTTAGAAAGGACATAATATTAGAGACATTATCGCCAATGTTAGATGTACCTTAGCTGAAAGCAGAGAGTACCAGAGGAATGTCTATTTGTTTCCTTGGCTATGCAAAAGAATTTGACTGTATGGATTAAAACAAACCGTGAAACAATCGGAAAAGAATGGTAATCCCAGAACACTTGATAGTGATTATGAGAAACCTATACTTGGGCTTGGAGGCAGTTGTCAGAACAGAGGAAAAAGACACTGCATGGTTCAAAATCAAGAAAGGTATATGCCAGGGATGCATCCTATCTCCATATTTCAACCAATATGCAAAATAGATCATCTAGGAGGCTGGACTCTATGAGCAGGAATGTAGCATCAGGATTGGAGGCAAACTCATCAATAACCTATGTTAGGCAAATAACACAATCTTACTTGCTGAAACTGAGGAGGACCTGCGGCATTTGCTGCAAAAGATTAAGGACAGAAGCCTTCAATGTAGATTGACGCTTGACATTAATAAAACAGAAATTTTCACAATTGGGCCAACTGGCAACATTATGATAGACAGATTAAGATCATTAACAACTTGAGCTTGCTCAGTTCCATAATCAACACTCTTGGTACCAGAAGCCAGGAAATCAAAAGACAAATTGAATTGGGAAAATCTGCTGTTATGGGTCTCTTCACAGTACTGAAGAGCAATGATGCCTGTTTAGAGACTACTTACTACAAGTTATTGCCTTCTGGAGACCCTAATGTCATGATATTATGAAGTTAATTGTGTCATTAAAATATGTGTGCTGGAATCCTTTCATACTTGTGGATTTAACACTTGTTAGGAATAATATTTGTTTTGTGATACAAATGAGGCTGTATCAGGGTGGTGGTTGTTGTAATGTGTCGTCGAGTTGCTTGTAACTCATAGCAACCCTATACACAACAGCCCTGAACCCTTCTCTGTCCTGTGACAATCGCACTGTCTCTGACACACCCACCTCAATACCCCAGTCACTGAATCAATCCAACTTATAGAGGGTCTTCCCCTCCTGCACTGTCCCTCCACCCTTCCAAGCATGATGTCCCTCTCCAAGGACCAGTTCCTCCTTACAACATGTCCAAAGTATGTCAGACGAAGCCTCAGAACCCTTGCCTCCAAGAAGCAGCCCGGTTTAACCCTCTACAAGATAAATCCGTTTGTTTTCTTAGCAGTCGATGGTACACTCAATGCTCTTCTCCAGCACCACAGCTCAAAGGCATCAGTTCTCCTTCTATCATCCCTAGTCATTGTTTGACTCGCTGACGCATAACAAGTGATTGCAAAGACCATGGCCTGTATCAGACACACTTTGGCCTCCAGAGTGACACCGTTGCTCCTTAGTACTTTGGAGAGGTCCCTAACAGCAGAGTTTCCCATTGCAATACATCTTTTAATTTCCTGGTTGCTGGTGCCAAGAGTGTTGACTGTGGAGCCAAGCAAATAAAAGCTGTGAACAATCTCAATCTCTTCACCTTATCCATCCTGGTGCTGCCAACCAGTCCGGTGGTGAGAATCTTTGTCTTCTTGATATTGAGCCTCAATCCATGTTGAAGGCTACAATCCTTGACCCTCTGCAGAAAGCTCTTCAGGTCCTCCCCAGTTTCAGCAAGCAGAGTTGTGCCATCTGCATAATGCAGATTATTGATAGATCTTCCACCAATCCTGATACTACATTTCTCCTCATAGAGCCCAGCCTCCCGGATAATCTGTTCTGCATACAGGTGAAAAGGTACGGAGACAGGACACATCCCTGGCATACACCCTTCCTAATTTTGAACCATGCAGTATTTCCGGGCTCTGTTCTGACAACTGCCTCTTGGTCCAAGTATAGGTTTCGCATTAGCACGATCAAGTGTTCTGGGATTCCCATTCTTCTCAGAGTCAGCCACAGTTTGTTATGATCCACACAGTCAAACATCTTTGCATAGCCAATGAATCATAGATAGGCATTTCTCTGGTATTCCCAGCTTTCAGCTAAGTTCCATCTAACATTAGCTTTCTCTAGTACCACAACCCCTTCTAAACCCAGAAAAATGTGCAAGGAGCTGGAGTCAGAAAATCAAAAGGGCCGAACTCGCTCAGCACTTCTTAAGCTCAAGAAACTGAAGAACAAATGCAAACCTTGAGTTGCTATAATCAAGGATGCTTTAGGCAGAATATTAAATGATCCAGTATTAAAAGAATATGGAAAGAATATACTGAGTCACTGAATCGAAAGAAATTGACAGACACAGAAGAATTTCATGAAATAACATATGGACAAGAACCTATAGTGATGAACGAAGAAGTTCAAGCTGTTTTGAAGGAAATAGCAAAAAATAAGGCCCCAAGAATAGATGACATATTTCAGCTAACAGATGCTGCCCTGAATGTGCTCACCAAGTTGTGCCAAGAAATCTGGAGAACAACCACTTGGTCAACTGACTGGAAGAGATCCATACTAGAACAATATCATTGATTTCACAAGCAAGCAAGATTCTACTGAAGAGTATCCAAAACTACTGGAAACAGCAAAACAGCAGAGAAGTATCAGGGTAGAGATACAATAAAACAAGTCACTAATGATTCATACAAGAAACAGGCTAGACACATACTCATTCACACAGAGGGAAAACCAAAAGGATTATTTGCAAGTAAGTTACACAGGACAAACCAACATTGATTTAAATTTTAAATTTGTACATTTAACTTCCAGAATCGTGAGAAAACAAGTTTCTGTGAACCAGATAACTTATGCAAACAGCACTACAAAATAGTTAAGAATATTTTCTTAAGCAATTATTGGGATCCAGAAATTATTAATGAAGAAAAACAGATATATTGTGTTCATTTTTAAACTCCTGATAACTGTTCTTTAAATTTCTGAAAGGTATTCAATTGCAGTATCACTTAGATTTTCCTATAAAACAGAAGTCTCAAATGAAGTAGCAGGAAGTTTCCACATTAAACATAGTAGGACCTTAAAACAAAATGAGACAAAAGTGGATTTCCCTTATAGTGAGATTGAAAGTTTAGAAATAGGACTTAGAAATATATTCATAATTCTAGTAACAAAGTGTGAAAGCAAGTGATTAAAAATAAGCATCCCTCAAAGGATAATTGTTGTTAATTGCCATTGAGTCAAGCACAACTCATAGTGACCCTATGAACAAAAGACCTGATGCCTTTCTATAACTATTGTCATTTCTCAAAGGGTAATAGATCTATTGAAAATATGTGGAGGAGCTGTTAGAACACCATATATGATATAGTACAGGTTTTCTGTTTTGGCTTGTTTTTCTTTGCTCATCTCTTCTTACTCTGATTTGGTCCCAGTTTCTAGGTGAAACATTTTTAGTCTTGGTAATTGAAGATATCTATGCACCAAATTAAAATACACATCCCTTTCTTCATTCTACCCGAATTCAAGGTATCTTGAGGTATTATTAATCATCTCTCCTTCGAAATAACATGCCTAGACATGAGGTTTCAAAGAAAATAATTACAACCTGACTATATATTAAATTGCCATTTCACAACTCTATTAGAATAAATGCTCAAAGCATTTATACCTCCTTATTATTTCATTCTCAGTGACTACACCAAAGACATTCTTGGATTTCCATCTATTTATCTGAGAGAACCCCTTTTTCTGTTACCTGAAATAAACAACCACAATTCATATTACTCTATCACATTACACTCTTCCCCCCTAAAATTTCAGTCTGTCTTTCTTACCAAATTCTGTTATCTCCAACTAATTAATCTCCCTTTTCCTTAGCTAA